TATATATATATATATATATATATATATATATATATATATATATATACCCTATTATCTAAATAGCTTAAACCCGCTAATATCGAAAGGTGTTAGGTAGCTCTATAAATATCAGGATTTTTACGCTTTTGAAATTATCGCGATGTGTCTCCATCCACCAGGTGCTCCTCTCGTGAAAGTAATTTTATCTTCGATAAGCGTCAGCCGCGGCAACGCGGCTATTATTCGACCGTTAAGATCCAGCGATCGCGACACCTCGTCTTTTTTCGTTCCACTCCAAAGATTGATATAATGGAGACAGATGACACACGTATGCGTATTATTTCATCTCGCGCGAATTGACAGGGCCAGCGAGATAATTCATCTCGAACGACAAACAGTGTGTAACGGATGAAAGATACGAGAATAACGTAAGCCCAGATAAATGCTCCGGAGGACGGGATACGAAAAAGAAAGAAAAGAAAAAAAAAAAAAAAGAAAAAAAAAAAAAAAGAACATGGCGACACGCAACAAACAACGTGTGTTCTCGGCAGGTTAGTTCTCTGCGACCTGACTGGTCGGCTGGCTGGCTGTTTCGCGTTACTCGACGCGGATCTGGTTTCGATTTTATTGCCCCCGCATCGCGGAGGCAATATTTCGTCTTTTACGACCGCTCCACCGCCGTCCTTCGTGGACGTTTTCGCCGGTGCGTTTGCGAGCCACGGCCTTCGCGAACCGGGATAAAAACGTCTGCAAAAATCCGAGCCCGCGCGATATAAGCATTTTTTCGTTGCCCCCCGTAATAAGCCGTAATATCGCCGCAAGAAGCGACCCGTGCTACGAAAGCAAATCCCAAGAATTTTATATTTCTCTTTTTTTCTCTCTCTCTCTTTCGCATGCAGTTTTACGATGATGCAGAAAAAATATTGATAACATAATAACGATAATACGGATAAATTATATTCAAAACCGAGGTAATTTACACGTAATTTATATTACATGAGAGAACTTTTATTAAGTTTTACCAACAAAAAAAAAAATCTTTTGCTCAAAATAAATAGGTAAATACGTTTTAAAATCTTAAAATTTAGAGAAAAATCTTTATAAGTTAATTCAATTTTTCTAATTTAACTTTGTCCCAGTCTGTTTTAGCGACTGAAAGCAATTCCGATCAATCAATACATTCAACGCGATTACGTGTCGAGTAATAAACTTACGACGGAAATGACGTACAGCGCCGCAACGAGTACGAGACAATTTCGACTCGAGTTTGCGGATTCGTCGGTGTATAGGGAGCTCGATTCTAGCTGAAATCGGCAAAATGAACTGAATCGAAGCGACAGGAGTGTTTTTCGCGAGCGCGAGACAAAGTGGCCGCCATTGCGATTGTCGAGAATTCGATTATTCGCGCGCGGTGCCGACGCGAGGGGCGAATCTAAACTCGATTTACCGGCGAATAAGTCGACTTGCCACAGAAATTCGTAGCGCTCGATCGAGGAACGAACGGTCGAGATTGGCGGTCGACCGCGAACGGTGAACCGG